TTCCCAATATATGAATCAGTGCGTAAATAAATTATATAATGATTTTTAAATTATACAAATAAGAAAAAAAATTCCTTTTAAATTAAAAAAAAAATCACATTATTTGATATTTTTTTAGAAAGTTAACTTGAAGTTAGATTAATGACAAGAAATAGTTCAATTATATAAATTATAGAAAGCTGATTTGTTATTAGATCAATGTAAATGAAACAAGTAAATGAATCAGAACTTATTTGGAAGTTAAATTAATGGAAAGAAACAGTTGAATTGCATAAAAATTTTATTAAACGTTTATTAAACTTTTTTCAATCATTTATATTTATTTTTATTTACTAAATTATATCATTGCACGTTCTTTGATATTTGTAAAAAAAATCTGTAATTGCATTTGCGCAAACATATCTTTGCATCATTAATTTGCACAAATTTACTAAGCGTGATATGAGATACAAATATTTGACAGGCGTACCAATTATTATTGAATGTCATGACAGGTGTACCAATTATTATGCCATGAAGAGTAATTGCAGTAAATTTGACAGCTGCAGTTACTTTTAGATAATTAATTCAGATATAAATAATCTTCTGAATTGTTTCCTTTCGTCCCTTTAACATATGTGTGAAAACCTTTATTTAAATTTGATTGAATTGATATTTAAATGTAGAAATTTTATTTGCGCAAATTTATCTTAGCATTATTAATTTGTGCAAATTAGTGAATTTGCATATATATTTGACAGGAATACCAACTGCTATTGACTGTCATAGAGACCAATTGCAGTAAATTTGACAGCTGATTTTACTCACTTCATACATAATTGCTTTACATGACAAATATTTATGTTTAGCAATTTGGGTAAATAGTCAACTGATTTTGGATTTAACCATCGATTCAATTAAATTATAATAGCGTACATCCTTTTGTTAAAAGAACGAAAGGAAACAAATCAGAGGAAATAAATTGAGCAACTACTTTTTAGTTAGCCTTCAAACTTATTAAATCTATCATAAATTTGTAATGTAATTTTGTAGCAATTTCTGTTTTTTTTTCTTGTAATAAATTTAAGTTTACTTCAAATAAAGTCACAATTTTCATATTTTATTTTGCAAACGATAATATTACAATTTCTTGAAATATAATACCTTCAGTACAAATATCGATTTTAACGATGATTAAGAACAAACTAAACCCATCATCGATTCTTGCAATGTAACAAAATCGAATGCAAATAAAAATGGTTGAGTGTGCACTAAATCAATATTTGTGTATAACAAAGACCGAGTCCGAGAAGCACTCGACCGTTCTGCAAAAAAAAAGGGAAACCCTCTAAAAAAAATCGAAAATACTCAAGCAAAAAGAATTACCATTGTCACGGTTTGTAATTGAAAACAACGTCAATTGCTTCAACATAAATACTTAATTTGTTTCAATAAAGAACAAAATACGAAGGGATTTAAGTACTTGATTTTTAAAAGTTAAGCAATATATATTGATGGCAATTTCGATTGTACAATTTCGTTAAAAAACAGATCAATATTAACAAGAAAATTTGAAAAAATAATACAATCAAGTAAATTTTAATAGGATCAAAATAACACTTTTTTTTTTAAATTTAATTGTTGGTTTCATTATCTTATGAAGAGGAAATATTAAAACCTTATATTAATTTAATACTATTAAAGAATTGAGTACATCTTCTATACTCGCCCGTATATGAAAGCTACAGTGGAAAAACAAGTTTATTACCAACACCCATTACATATAAATAGCGATTCTCTCTTTGGAATCCGACTGACCGGATTATTCATGTTTAATTATTGATTTACTAGATGCATCTGTTTGTTTTCATTGATACAATTTCATATACCAATGATACATATGTTAATGGAAAGCAATTCAGTATGAATTTTAGAAAACGATTATGATTTCACTATGAATTTAGCTCAATTGGTAAACTTATAAGGATATGCAATTATAAGTTGGAAATTATGTGGAAAGATTTAAGCATCAAGCAATTTCTTAGATCTAATGCATGTAATTTAAGTACTAAGATGATTCGATGTACGACTATTGGTGAAATCGGTACAGCTGGAATGGAAAGTATTGGCTACAAGGAGAGAGAGTATATCTTCGAAACAATAATTTCAAATCAGTTTTGCGAGAGTCGTAATTAAGGAAGACGTTAAAGCATCTGCTTTGTGTTGTAGTAAATCATAACCGATCGGGATTACCGTAAAAAGCTAACTGTGTACGAAGTCTGTTTATATACGGTAGAACGAGTGAGTGACTCGTATGCAAATCGCGCAAACTTATTTTTAGCCGCATCTCCCGCCGCCTTTCATCATCATCATCATCGATTCGCATGCGACGACGCGGTTTGTGCAAATATTTGTCACCTCTTTCATTACTTATGTTTCTATTCAATCTTAGTTCTGTTCTTTTTACTTATTCTTATGTACACTTTGCGTGTCTTTTGCTGTACTATTGACCCACTACCAGAATCTGTGGTGCGTTTCGAAACGATGAAGACCTCGTCGATTCGGTCCGGTTCTTCGCTAGACTCTGTTCATCGCTTCTTTGCGCGTTTTCTTCGTTGCTTCTTCGGGCCGGTTTATATTGCACAAACCTTCTTACATCCTTGCATTCATGTATGTATGTATGTTTGTACACCACTCGCATCTTTATAGGCGGCTCCAATACATAAACTACATGCTTGATCCGATCGGCTCGTATCATATTATATATAAATAAAGCTGCGCATGCCGAATATGGACAACCTTGATTTACAAATCAAATCAAATCGAATTCCACCAACGAAATTACTTCTTCGTTCTGACTTTATGTGTACCTTTTTTTTTATATATCTTTACATTCTGTATGTACTTTTATTAATGATCACATCGGAATGTTTTCTTACTCAATCATAAATAGATTAAAACACGAGAATTAATAAAGGCCAAATTAATTTCATGAACTTACAAGATCAAAAATTATTAATTGTTATGTATTCTGTTTACTTTCACATTACTTGTCAAGTATCACCAAGACTATATTAAATTTATTAACAAGTGTTTCGAAATACTTGTAAAAGTTACTTAGTAAGTATGACGTATTAAACAGACAGGTTTTTTTTTATTATACTAAGTGATTCATATTCAAATTTACGTCACAAATAAGTTTATTGGAGATTCGTTAATAAATTTTGAAAAAAACCAGTAATTCAAAATAGGTAAAAATTGGATATTAAAATATTTAATATAAGATTTCAATGTTTTAATTTTCATTCAAAAAATACTTTACTTTTGATGGATTAGAAGAAAACTAATATTAAATAATTATTTGAAGAAATCAATATTAATCAAATATGTTTTGAAAGATATAATTGAAACGTTTTTTTTTGGTAGAGAAAGAATTTTCCTACATAGAAAAATTGATATAAAAATAATAAATTGGATTGCTCAAACTAAATATGATTCGAAAAGTAGACGCATAAAATCGAGATTCATGAAAATGCTATACAAAAAAGTTGCTCAATTCACAATTTTATTAACAGTTGATTGTATAATTTCATTTTAATAAGAAAATTTGATTCTATAATAAAGGAAATAGTAAATTTCATTCATCAATTATCAATAAATTTCAAATTGAATAGACTTCAAAAATGTAATTAACTTAAGAAATAACATTTTCTTTATATGATTAAATTTTATAATAAACTTATTATTTGCTCAATACTTTATTGCAGCCTTGACGATCGAAAAGGTTGAAATATTTAAGTGTCATTGCTACTTTCATTTACAAAATGTCAACTATTTAGTGCATATTTATATATTAATTAGAATAATTAAATGATTTATATTCAATTATTATTTCAAGTATTTTTTTGTAAATCTGCATTGAAACTATTGAGTTCATATAATCAATGCATTTTATATATTTCTTAAATATATTTTCTTATTTTTACCTTATTTCTTTTATTAAAACGTAAATTAAAAAAATGAAATGAATTGAATAAATTTTACTGATCCAAAATATTTAAATTTTTCATTAACAACAAAATCTATACAATAAAAAAATAGGAAATTCCATAAACTCAAATTTATTCGACATTCATAATACTTTCACTTCTTCCTCATTAGTGCTACTAGCTGTATACGTAAATACCCAAAAAAAAAAGTTGACTAATTTTCTAATTTTGACGTGTTTCCTTGCCGCAAAATTGAATATATTCAATGATCAAGAGCGTATTGAAATTAACCGGCAGTTAAACCTATTTACGTAGGTAGCATTGAGATTACACAGAACATGTACGAATGCAAATAACCGGATGCATGTAGTGGCGATAATTAGTTGTCAAACAAGAGCTGTTAAAAGTGCGGATTTCGAGCATCTCTCATTGCGTAATCGCTGAATCCATGTTCTGTTCTTCGTGACGCACCATAAGACAAGAAGAACGTTTAATGATTATTGCGAAATTGCATAGCTAAAGGCGAGATCATCGTCGATTCTATGAGATTGAGCGTTTTGAAAGTAAAAAATTGTAAATTTAATTATCATCACTTTTGAAGAATATTCAAAGTATTTAATGAATGTAATTTGAATCAAAGTATTATGCAAAATGTTTCTAGCATTCGAATTGCCACGGCGAGGTGTTCACCTTTCACATTTGTAGCAGAAGAAGGAGGTGAATTTGAGCGCTCGATCAAGACTGTTCAGCCTTCAGATCAAAATGTCGCCAAGTTTCTTTCTAAATTTCCGATGCGAAAACTGTAGTAAAAACTTAGTTAAGCGAAACTTTCTCATTCATCTCTTTATATCTCTCTCTCTCTTACATATCCTTATTAGAATCGCTCGACTCATCATCGAGTTTCACAATCGACGACCTTTAAAAGAAGATCCAGCTGGTTTTGAAACATCCAGGATGCGAAAAGACAAAAATCTCGATTGTTTTCAAACAAAACATTTCAAAAAGAAAAACTAAAATTCTAAAGTCTCTTACCTTTAAATCGAATTGGATATGGAAGAAAACCAAACTAAAGAAAATCCAATTAAAACTAACGCACTTTCTATTTGATAAAACTCCTCGAAATCACTTAAAAAAGTTTTGTTTTTCTTCTTTATTTTGAATTAATGTCCAGATGGAAATTTTACGCGATTTTGTGTCGCATGTTGGTTGCGATTCCTTTAGTATTTACTGTACGTGGAGAGGTCCATGATCGTGATTTTTGCGTGGAAATCCTGCTGGTTGGCCCGTCTTCAGGTACGGCCAAGAACTGACTGACAGTTCAGGTAGGCTTAAGTCTCTGGTCTTCCGCAGGAGTTGGATACGCATGCGTGCGGAAAGCGAGTGGTCTTGAGATGAAGGTGTGTTGTGTAGGTGAGGTGAGACCACGAAGAGAATTCCTGCTGGAATTTTCATTCGTTTAGGCAACTCCAAGCTCCTTGAACAGGAGATCTTTTCTTCGAAAAGACACATTATCAGAGTTGCGCAATTATTTCGATTTTGAAACGAGATTTGAGTCACATTCGGAATTGCAGTTGCTCAACTTTCTTAGTCACAAATTTATTTGCTGTAGCAATACTATTCGGAAAACAAAGAAAGAATTAATAAGACGTTTATTATAAAAGCATTGGTTCTTACCGTCAATTTCATTATATTTCAATTAGTAAGATTTGTAGGAAATTCTATAAAAAAACATTTGGAATAGATTCTAGGAATGCCAGAAAATTATGACAAATCGAAATTATTTGAATGATTCATTATTAAAAAAATATCGTCTTCTATTCATAATTTGAACTGAAAAAATAGAAATATTCAAGGTAAAAAATATAAACTTTCTAAGTCTGTTTTGTAAAAAAAATATTTTATTAAGTACTTCGAAAATATATACACTATAATTCAAAGATTTACTTCTAAAAATGATTTACAGTAAGTTATTGTAATTGCAATTATTATATTCGACTTTTCTTGAAAAAAGTTATATGTTATTATTTCATTTATTTTAAGGGAAATTTTGAATAAATAATTATGTAAAAATTTACTTTTTTTTACTAATTTTTATAATATTAATAATGTTTAAATTGTAATTTCAAAAATTGAACTGCTCTACCTCGCTTAGTCCGGCTTCGATCAGTGTGAATTCACTATAGTACGGTTTGAAAGTTTCAAAAGAAAGGAACTTTTAATTGAGCAAAATAAAATTAAATTTTAAAAAATTAATAGACAATTTCTTTTTTTCATTTATAGAGTCTTTTTATGCTGTTTATTTTGTATACGGGTTTCAAATCCTCGATTAGTGCGGTTTCAATCATTGGAATTGGAATCAATTACCCGGACTATGCGAGGTATTTCTCCGAAACAATTGGTTGATTACGGTTTGAAAGAATTTTTATACGGGCTTAAAATCCTCGATTAGTGCGGTTTCAATCATTGAAATTGGAATCGATTACCCGTACTATGCGAGGTATTTCTCCGAAACAATTGGTTGATTACGGTTGGAAAGTTTCAAAAGAAACGAATTTTTAATTAAGCAAAATAAAAATAAATTCTAAAAAATTAGTAGACAATTTTTTTTTCCATTTATAGAGTCAAGTTTTTTTTATGCTGTTTATTTTATATACATTTAAATCCTCGATTAGTGCGGTTTCAATAATTGAAATCGATTACCCGGACTATGTGAGGTATTTCTCTGAAACAATTGGTTGATTACGGTTTGAAAGTTTCAAAAGAAATGAATTTTTAATTAAGCAAAATAAATTCTAAAAAATTAATAGACATCTTTTTTCTCTTTATACAGTCAAGTTTCTTTTTATGCTGTTTATTTTGTATACATTCAAATCCTCAATTAGTGCGGTTTCAATCATTGGAATTGGAATCGATTACCCGGACTATGCGAGGTATTTCTCCGAAACAATTGGTTGATTACATTAAACAAATTATAATAAACTCTAATAATAACCACTATTTCAATATGCTAAAATATATCATAAATATCATGTTTTGTCACAAACTGGAGGATAATTGATAATTTATTTTGTATTAAGAAAGTTTAGAAAAAAAAGAAAGGTAACTACAATTTCATTAAATAAAGTTTTTTTTTTGTTAATTTGCATTAGTAATTAGGCACTAAAATTATATTTTTTAGTAAATTTTGTAAGACTCTTATTTACTTGTTGCAACAAACATTGTTATAATAATTCAGAATTTATATAATATTTTATAAATTCTTGAAAAAACCTTTCAGTGTTTGTACGTTACTAAAGAATTCCACAAAGTTCCGTTATATTCAAGATTTTACACAAAATTATCATCTCGTTTTTTGAAATTACTGTAAATTCTCGAGGATTTCAAATTGCGAATTTATTTAAATATATAAAATGCACTGGTTCCGTTATTTCAACTTATTTCATTAAAATTCTTCCTCGTTTAAATCGAAATTAATTAACAGACTGCAACGGTTTTCTTTTGCCAAAAATCGTTTCTTTTTTAATATTTTAGCAATTAAAATGTAATCAGTCGGCAAATGTATGTTAACTTAAATATGCAAAAATAATTAGTTTCTTTTTCGAACGTCGTTCGCTTTTGTAACTCGTAACTTTTAGAATATTGGGAATTCAATAGTGAAACTTCGAAGCTGAAATACAAAAAAAAAATCAGTTCTGCTTTTTAAATACGAATGCGGCCACAACATGTAACCAGATTGGCTAACGCGACCGAAGAACACTCAATTACCAACTAATTATTTATAATTACTTAGAAAATAATAATAGTCAAAGAAGATGAGTATTGCATTGTTTGTTTTAATTGATTTGACATTTAATTTCTTTGATTTTAACGATTTTTTTACACTTTTAATGTAAATTTAAATAGAATTTTTTGTTTTTTGCGTGAAGTTAGTGAAATTTTTTTATATATATGAAATTACGTAATTTTTATTTGTTTATTGTAAAAGAATAATAAATTCTAAATAAACTTACCTTAACATCAAATAATTTAACGTAGTTTATGATTGAAAATTAATTTTCTTTTTCGATTTACATAAAATAACTGATAAAAATTTATTTTCTTATGGTTTAAAAATGGTTTATTTTTTTTACAGTAAGAAAATCAGTGATTTTTTATTGGTTTAGACAAAATAAATAATGTTTGCTGTTGAAAATCTATTTTTTTATTGGTTTTGACAATTTCATTTTTGTACAGTTGAAAATCTATTTTTTTCTATGACTTACATAAGTTAAATTATGTTTATTTACATAATAAAATCTGTATTTTTTGATGGTCTAGACAAGATAAATGATTTACTTTTTTTACTGTTGGAAATATGCATTTTTTTATGGTTTAGATAAGATAAATGAATTATTTTTTTACAGTTAAAAATATGTACGTAATTAAGTTTAATGAGGTAACTGTAATAATGCAAATAGCCCATAGCGATGTAATGCACTGTATATGTAAGGAATATTTACATTGAACGCTCGTAATCGTGCAATTGAACTTGCGTAATTGCTGCAATTATCGTTGCATCCAGCAAAGATCGCGTTAGCTAATTAGAATTTTTAATTTTATTGTGAATCTAGTCCAAAGTTAGCGTGCATAGCGTCTCATACACTTATATTATATAAATTGTAGATTTTTTATAATTTATGATTAATTAACATTGCTTTTGTCTTAATATAAATTGGAAATAATTGTAAAATTATTGTTACTTTTTCAAAACTTTTTTTTTATTATTTTCACTATTTCTATTCTATAGTAATTAATAACTCGTATAGTATGCATATTAACAGATACATTTTCCGGACTAATCGATGAATTTAAAACTGTACAAAATGAAATTAGTATAAACTTATAAAAAATATATCATTTATATATAAAACAAAAATTGTGCACTACTTTTTTTGAATTCAGTATAGTGAATTCGCACTTATCGAAGCCGTACTATACGAGGCGTTGCATTGTATTTTAAATTAAGCCACAAAATCTTCAGTATATTTGTAATTTTAAGTAAATAACTACTTAATAAGGTTTAATAAATTGAAATCAAGCATACAAATATAATTATTACGCAGTTTATATGTAACGATACACATTTACTGATTATATACGATAAATGTAAGTATACATTTGATAGCAGCGTCATATATCTACTTTTACTGGAAAATGTACAAATTTATCGGTATATGTATACAATTACCGATTATATACTTTTACCATAACATATATAATGATAACAGTATAAAATTAATCTAAAACTTCTTTGAGTATATGTTATAGAAAAACAGGTTCTAGTTGAAATTAAAAAAAAATATGATTAGTTTATTCACTATTATTTCTTTTTTTTAAATTTTACTTAAACTTATGTAATGTTCTTTGGGAAAATAGTTTAATTAATGATTTTTAACAAATTTGTCACTGTATTAAAGTTATATCATAAGGAAAAAACTATATAAGTATTGATGAAACATATGTATTTTGTATTCTAACTAAAATGTTGATGCATGATTAAAACTTGAAGCTTAATAATAATTTATTAAATTATTATAAAAATGCAGTTTGTGGTTTCACATTTCTAATTGCTCCCTCTTAGCCTGAATGTGACATGCCTATATATTTTACTTTTGTTGCTTTGGGCAGATCTTGTCCATTAAGTCTTACAGTTGGGCAGGTGTCTTTCTTTAGCGTGAATGTGATATGCATGGATATCATTTCGTTAACTGCATTTTTTAAGCCATTTTTGTAGCTTATCGAAATTTTCCTGTAGATATTCGGATGCTATTGATTTAGATTCACTGACTCTGAAATTATTCCACTTTGTTTGAATGCCACTGGTTGAAATTATTTTTTGTGATTGTTATAGGCAACTTACATTAAATAAAAATCATATTCAAAATTATTAAAATGTGAAATGTGAAAACACTGCTTTTTCAACTTTTACATGCGTATTACAGCAATATGGATAAAAGCACACGAATGTATCTATACTTGCTGGATTCCCAAAACATTCAGCTTTCATATGCATATATTGGATTCATTGTATCTATTATAGTTCTCGGGTAAATCAATGAAATGTGAAAACACTGCTTTTTCAAACGTTATTATTTCAATTTTTCAACTTTGAAAAGAGCACAGGAATGTATCTATACTTTAGCAGATATTTGGAAAATTGCTCACTGCTACTAATATTCGCGCCTCCCCTTAGTCTACTCCACATCTCCCCAGGGAGTCGCGCCTCACAGTTTGGAAAACGCTGCCTCATATCTATTATTGATAGTAATTAAGAGATTCCACTTATTAGTACAACATATTAATAAATTTCAAATATTCGTTATTTCTAAAACAAAATTTTAAATTAGTAATAATGTATTGACTTCATTCATTGATATATAATATTGATGTAACTAATAACTAGTATAGGACTTTAATAATTATAAATAAATGACATTAAAGAAAAACTAAACTTATTTTTCTTTAAAACATATATTTTAATGTATGCAACCAAACACTCATGTTTCAAATCATGAAAATATGATAAATGCACAGAAAAACTTTAGGGTTGAAAGGATCAATCGATTTCTTAAAATATAATCTTAATATGTATTCAATAATTTGTATTGTTCATTTATACATTAACAAATAACTTATAAACAGTGAAAATAATTGAATAAGTTTACTAAAATACATTTATTTACACATTTCTTTGATTTTCACAGTAATTTTCATTTAAATTACTTAATTAAAAAATATACAATTTGCACAGCAAAAAACTTTTCTCCCAATACCTGCAAACCCCTAATTACTAAATCTATTATATAATAACGTTATATTCTACTTAACTATATTTACATTTAGATTAAAATAAAAAGTGAATTGTAACTGTTGCTATTGCTAACAAGTTTTTTTGGTTATACATAAATTTAGTTAATATAAGTTACATTCAGGTAATTGGGATTTTTTAAACTGGATTATGCTTAAATTTATTAATTATTTCATAAATGTTTACTTCTTCTGCATTTCAAAATATTCGTTTCTGAAGGATTTGTTGAGGAGACCTCCGACCCTTGAACGGACCCAAGTGGGACTGAAAGTCTTCACGATGAAATACTGAAATCAAATCAATTATATAGGTGATTTTTCTATAAATGAAAGTTTGGTGTAGTTCACCTGCAGTGAATGCGTCCAATATCCGGCGGTGTGATCGACCTTTCCAAGAGCTGCGGCCGCGTGTTTCGCGTAACTCGCGGCATCCGGCACGAAGAAATTGCCACTCAACAATCGGTTACTGAAGCTATTCATCTTTGTTGACACGAAGAACGGTGTTACGTGTTGCACTGTCACGTTGTACTTGGAGTATTCATAACGGAGGGCTTCCGAGAAACTTCTAATATAAGCCTGAAAAAAACAATAATAATAATAATTAGCAAATCAATTTAACAATTGGAATTACAATTTAATTCATTTAAACTTTAATTCATTAATGAAATAAAAATTATCCATACTATTAAGATGAATTTGATTGATGAATTTTTTCAATATCCTAAAATTTATAATAGTCGATGTGGGTCAAATTTTATAAATCTTTCCAAAGTTGCAATTTTTTAAATTACTCAATGGAAAATAGTCAAAGTGGGCCAAATCACTTATTTTTAATCATGATTCAACTGGAAATACTACAAAAGTTTTTAACTTGTGATTTGTTTTGTTGGTATAGGAATGTCCTTTACTAACTGAGGTGTATTTGTTGTCTGTTATTGTTCTTCTATTCAACAAAAATTAAAAATTTTTTTCTTTAGAAAAGTTTGTTTTCATGCAGTTAAGTAACAAATCAGTGTTTGTTTATAAAATCGTAATATACCAATCAAATCATATTATGCAAGAAGCTGTGTATTTCTTCAAATTCAACAAATGTAACTATTGTTTATAAATGATCAGATTTATAATGAACTATATTTAAGCGAGCTTTAGAATTAAAGACTTTAAAAGTTATATAAAATCAATCTGTATCTTTCTTATATTTGAGCCGTTCATTTTGAAAGTGACTTAAGTCCATTTATCTTTAATTTGAAATACTTAAGGTTTTGCGTTTTTACAAAATTAAAAATATACGTAAGATATATGGTTGACTTGCAATGTTAAATCGCATTTAAGGGATTTAATTTTAATTAATTAATTTTATTCCTATTAAAAAGTCGCTATTATTAAGTGCATAATATGACCTTGCTTACCTTAAAATGACTTAGGTCACTTTCAAAATAAAAAATTGTTTTGTTACAAAAAGAACTTAAGTCCATTACATATAGCTTAAAAAATAGAAGAAAAAAAACATTTAAATTATATTTTTAGATAATAGAAATAAATTTAGTAACAAGTTATTCGTTAACATTCTCAGTATGCGGGATTGATTTGAAGTAGTTATGTTGCTTCTTATACTTTTATATAACGATGGCAATACAATATTTTCAAATTTTTTAGGTCTGCCCCGACGTGGCAATAAATCAAGAATTTAAATTCTGCGTTCTCATCCATGGTTGTTTTGTATAAATTTTTTCTCACAGTTTATTTTTTCTCATTCTCAATTACTTCCTCTTCCTCTGTTGAAGAATGAACTTCTAAAATTCTCCTTCTTTTTTTAAATCTGTTGTATGAGTTTAATTCCTCTTCACTTTCAGAATCAAGAAATCTTGTTATTTTATCCTTTCCCATGGGTTTAATAATTTCTTTAAATTAAATATTATTTTTTAAATTTCAATTTAATATCAATTTAAATTACCTTCATCACTGCTTTCAACATTTTGGGCCGCA